GGGCACCTCGTCTGTGGGGCTCGGCTCCTCTGTCCCCAGGGCTCAGGGGCTCCTGGCCCTGCTCCGGCTCCCCAGGAACCTCATTCTGAAGATGTCGATCCTCGGCCTGCTCTGCTACCAGTGGCTCAGCGGGAGAGTCGTCTGCTCGACAGAGGAGGTCAGTGCTGCCGCCCCGGCACCGTGTGGGGCTGCGCTCTGCACCGGGCGGTGCGAGGAGCACGTGGCGCCCGCGTGAGCCAGCTGAGTCGCGCCGTCCAGACTGTGCCGTGCCCAGGGAGTGCAGAGCAAAGCCAAGGCTGCGGTCCCAGCACCGGCAGGGGCAGGGGTCTGGCAGGGCAGGGGTCTGGCAGCAGGGGATTTGCCAGATGCACCACAGGCACCATCCGCTTCTTTGCCGAGGAGAGGGATGACAGCTGGACAGGGACACCCCAAATGTGGGGTGGCTGGGGAAGAGGTGCAGGGAAGGAAAAGGTCCCACAGCCTCTTGCACCCTATGGGAGCCACAGGAAAGTCATGGGGGAGGAGAAGCCTTGTTGCCCTCTTGATGCCACCTTTGCTTGTCTCCCCAGTGCTGGGAGACGTGTGTTGGGCAGGACCTGTATCGCTTCATGGTGATGGACTTCATATTCACCCTGCTGGACACGCTTTTTGGAGAGCTGGTCTGGAGGTAACGTGCCCCAGGAGGGGTTCCCCCACTGCATGGCACCCCCAGCACAGCCCCGGCTCTCCACTGCCCGGGCAACACTGCCCCGGTGCACCCAGGCTCTGCCACCGTCCGAGGGGAGGAGGGATGCTGAGCATCCCCCCCGGCTCCGCTCCTTCCCAGGCTGATCTTGGAGAAGAGGCTGAAGAGGAAGCAGAGGCCCGAGTTTGACATCGCCCGAAATGTGCTGGAGCTGATCTACGGGCAGACCCTGACCTGGTGAGATGTCTCATCCTGGCACAGCTCATTCCTCTGCTGGCAAACGCCTCGTGGTCTGCTGTGAGCCCTGCAGCTGGCGGGGACCCGGCACAGGAGTGGCACGT